AATCCTTTCTTATAGGTTGTTCAATTTATTGGCATAAAATTTTTAATAGTTTCTTAGGGTCTTTTGTATTTCTGTGCTTGTAATATCTCCAATGCTGAGACTTGACCCCTAGGCTACCAGGGAGGCCCTAATTTCCAGTTTGATTTCTTTAACTCATTGGTTGTTCAGCATGTTTAATCTCCACATATATGTGAGTTTTTCAGGGTTTTGTGTAGTTTCATATCATTGTGATTGGAAAAAAATGGTCTCTATGATGTTAATGTTCTCTATTATGATCTATTTTATGCCTTAATATATATACCTTAACATATGATGACTGTTCCATCTGCCCTTGAAAAGAATGTGCATTGTGCTGTTGGATGAAATGATCTTTAAATGTTTGGTTCATCTAATTTTATATTTATGTATATATTTTTAATTGGATTTTTCTCTCTGAATATCTCTTCATTCTTGATAGCAGGGGTATTGAAACCCTCTACTACTATTATAATAATATATCTTTCTCTCTTCACATCTGTTAATATTTGCAATATACATTTAGGTACTCATATTTTGAGTGTATAATCTCACATGTATAAATATTTACAAATGTTACATCCTCTACTTGGATATACCCCTTTATTATTATATTATGACCTTCTCTGTCTCTTAGTATAATGCCTTTTATTACTATGTACAGTTACATGCATAGCTGTTTTCTTTGGGTTCCATGTACATCAATATCCTTTTGCATGACTTCACTTTCAGTCTAAGTGTGTCTTAAAGCTGGACTCGTGGGGAAATACATTTGAGTCTGTTTTTAGTTTTTACTAGCACTCCTATGTCTTTGGATAGTAAAACTTAACCCATTTACTTTTTTTTTTTTTAAGATTTATTTTTTTATATATACAAGCACTGGGTACAGTCAGAAGCGCGGGAGGGTAAGAGAATTCACCAGAGCCAGAGCGGGGAGCAGAACAGGCAGAAGGACTGAAGTACACTGCTGAGGGGAGCAGCGGGCAGCAGGAGAGGTCTGCGCGCCATGTGGGACCCTCCCTGGAGGCCAGGGATTGAATGGCGCTGCAGAGGCTGCAGGCGGCTTCGGGTTCGCAGCCCAGCACTCAACCACTGCGCCACCAGGGGAGGCCCTAATCCATTTACTTTTAATGTATTGTTGATAGGTATGAACTTAACTGCTGTCATGTATCACTTAATGATGGAATACATCCTGAAAAAATGGATTGTTGGGCAATTTTGTCATTATATGAATGACACATATACATATACACATATACATTTGTCACATATACAAACCTAGATGGTATAGCCTACTGTACATCAAGACTATATTAGGGACCATCACCATTGTCTATGTGGTGTATCATTACCTGAAACACTTTACAGCACTTGACTATATTACCATTGTGCTAATTGCTTTCTTGTTGCCTTAGAATTCCTTTATTCCTTCCTCTTTCGATGTCTTTCTTCATGATTTATTGATTTTTCTGTAGTTTTATGTATTCTTTTCTCTTTTTTGTCTATCTACCATAAGTTTTTGCTTTGTGGATACCATCAGGCATACATAAAATATCTTGTATTTGTGCTGAATTAGAAGGCTGATCCTCAGGCAGAAGCTTTCATGGTATAAAGATACTCTTTTTTAGTGAGAGGAAATAAGCAATTTTGCCTGCCCCACTGTGCTGAGCCCTGGGGAGATAGCCACAGTGAGTGATCACTCCAGTTAACAACTGCTTCCTTGTTTGTTATATTGTAGACCTCCGGGATCTCATTTGTGTACAGAGCTAGGTATTTGGAGGACCCATTCCTTGAGTGGGAGTCTTAAAAGTTGGAGTACTAAATGTGAGGCCCAAACCCTTCCCTCTTCAGGGAGAAGCAGAAGTTTGAAGTTCCCTCTCACACATGTGGTGCTTTACTAGATGTGGGGTTTATAGTGTGACAGTCTTTCCTACCCATTTCTCTGTGGTTATTTTCTCATTTTCCCAATGTGTAGGAGTAGCTCAGCTATTATCTTTATTTCTTTAAGAGGAAATTTCTCTGTTTTTAGCTGAATAGTCAGTGTGTCCAGGAGGGAAAGGAAGTTCAGGAGTCTTCTATGTTGCCATTTTGTCAACTCTTCTCTAATAGCATTCTACAGGTTGCCTATACTTGTTGCATAGGGCAGGGATAAAGGGAATATCTATGGAGATTTTGTGCTGCTTTGGCTCTCCAAGTATATCAATTATTTTTAAAAATTGACAACAAATTATTGTACCACCATCATCAGAATGTCAATCTCTTTCATCAAAATATTTCATTAAATGTTATTGTTCTAACTCTAAACTTAAGTAAGCTGATTATCCTAATTAAATTATCATGTTGACATTTTTTCCTGATCTACTGATCAGGTTTCAACTAATAAGTAATGTAGTTTTTCAATCCCAGAAAAATAAAGTGAAAAACTACATTTAAATGTAAGGCACTGGGCTTTCCCAGTGGCGCAGCAGGTTGAGCGCGGTGCTGTGAAGCTGTCCGCGGCCTCTGCAGCACGGGTTCAATTCCCGGCCCACCAGGGAGATACCCACATGGCGCAGCAGACCTCTCCTGTCTCACCTGCTGCTCCTCTCAGCAGTGTTTTTCTGTCATCTGCCTGTTCTGCTCCCTGCTCTGTCTCTCATGAATCCTCTCACCTTCCCACACCTCTGGCTTATACCCCAGCTCTTGTATAAAAATAAATAAATCTTTAAAAAAAAATAAAGGTAAGGCACACTGTTTAAAAGTAACTAATAGCCCCAGAGTCTCAGTAACTTAAAATACAAGAAAGGTTTATTTCTTGCTCATGCAAAGCTTGAGATCTGATTTTAACTTGTCAAGGAAATCATTTTCCATGCAGTAACTCAGAGATCCAGGCTGCTTTCACCTTGTGGCTGTGGTTTTGTAGTCACAGCTAAAGGAGAAAAGAAATCATGCAAAATGTACATGTACACAGTCCTAAAGTGACATATTCTTATCAATCAAATCAGTAGTTAAAATCAGTTAAAATCAGTCTCCAGGTCCCATCTAATTGCAAGAGAATTGAGAAATGGGATGCTCTGTAGTGGTTAGAAAGGAAAGAACTGGATGTCAGTGAGCACTGGAAGACTCTTGTCACATTTATTTTTTCCAGGTAGTATAGATAGGAGAGAATAAACTTGAGAAAAGCATGTGTGACAGGGAAAAAAGATTGGAAACATTAAATTAAAATAATGCAAATACTAAGAACTTTAGTTATTCTTCTTTATGCTTTGAACACTAAAAATGTAGTTGCTTTCCAGTTAAATACCATGATTGTATATGTCTGCGCAGTACTTGTGTTCAAACACGTATGGTCTTACATCAGACAACTGCTATCAAAGTACCTCAATAATTATATGTTTAAAAAATCCTCACTCTAGAAAATTACAAACTCAAGAACCTGTAATTCACAGAATACTTGTTTTGTTGTTCACTTGATATATTTTATTAAAATTGAATGAAATAAGGGAAAATTCTTTGTAGGCTCATTGAAATAATTATTTCATTATAAAGGTAAATGAAATTGGTAGGTGACATGGTAACTTGAAATCAAGTATCATTAAGGGTAGATTCCAAAGAATTGATTTTAAGAATTAAGCTCATTCTAATTTAAACCATTTTCAATAAACTATAAACTATTGGTAAGTTTTACTCTTGGAATATAAAATGGGGAAAAGGATTTGAGAAAGCCAAATGCCTCAATTACTATAATCTTTTCCTAATTGTCCTTCACATTGATATTTTTATTCTAAAATAAGGAGGAAAGAAACTATATAAGTCTTGAACCCCAGTTCCTGATCAACCTTAGCAACTACTTGCTTCTGGTTTTCCTTCTTAGTACTTATTCACAGTCTCTTCTTCTGGTTGACCCCTAAGGATTGAGTGCCTCTCAGTTTCTTTATTCATTCTCTTGAGATTAGTTCATGAAGTTCCTTGGTGCTGATTGCTATTTATACACTGACATATCCCACAGTTTTAGCGCTAGCTTTGACTTTTTCTCCAAATTTCACATTAGTATTCACCTACCTATTTGGTATCTCCATGTGGATATGTAACAGACACATCAAACTTAGCATGTAGAAAAGGACTTATTTATTCTCCAACTTCCCCCACCTTCCCTTTGTCCCATTGCTTAGGGCAGGAAACAGATTTAGTTCCTTATTTTCTATTATCCCCTGCAACTAGTTCATCCACATTTTAGATTTATGTCTCATTTATCAACAGTGTAACCTATTCCCAGTATTAAGTTCCCTGTGTGAAATATCTAGACTTATTTATTTCTTTAATGGATCCTGATACTGCAGTAACTTCAGTTTTATTTTTTTTTTGAGTTTCTCGTTCATATTTACTTTATAGTTTTCTTTTCTTTTTTTTTTAAATAATAAATTTTATTTTTATATTCCCCCATACAATTGCAAACGCCCCATTCTGACCCCAATCCTGATATGTTGAGCTTATGATAAGTGTGTGGCTTCCTGGTCAAAATATTTACTAGAGGCTTGGAATTAAGTCCTGAAGACCTGGACCCAGAAAGCTAGATTTGGAAGCTGACACTATACAGGTGGTATTTGAAGCTATAAAGTTTGAGTGAAGAAATGGAAAGATTAAGTCAAGATTTTACAGTGGGCTCACCCCTGAAGCAAAAAGGTGTTTTATTTAGACCAAGAAAGAACTTGAAAAGGGGTGGCCAGTAAACGAGAACACCAAGATTAGCAATGTCACAGAAACCAAGTGAAAAAATTCCTAAAGGACACAGGAGAGTCAAACTTTGTGAAGATAACTGATAGGATACATAAAAGGATTGAGACAAATGAGACCAAATTTCTCTCCTATTTAACAGAGGGGGTGCCTTTCCTACTTTTGCAGAATTACAATACAGGGGTGGGGAGGAAACAAGTTTACCATGAGTTAAGATTCAGATGGGAATAGGAGCAGCTCAAAACCATCAACGAATTGCGTTACTTTTTCAGGATATTGGACAGTGAAGACTTTGAAAGAAAAATACCTTAAGTTGGAGGGAAAGAAAGAAATGAAGAAATAAGTGGATAGTGAAGCTCTCACAAAGGTAAGAGGGAATGGGATCTAATCTAGAGATGGAATGGTTGTCCCTTTTGAAATCGGATGAGATTGGGCGACACACACATTTGTGGAGGGACTAATTCTGCCTTTACTGACATGGTGTTATCAAGTAGTCTCCATAATGCATATGCTTCTCTAACATGAACAGAAGTATCATTTACTTTTTCTTCTCTCTACTATTCAATACTTTTAGAAAAAAGTTAGATGAGGACTCACACATCATTTCTATATGTATGAATCACATACTTGTGACTGAGTGTTAACTTTTCTCCAAATGCTTCTAGCAAAACATGAAAATTCCATGTTTACAAGGACTGATATTAACATTTTGAAAAAATATATTTATAAAACTGGCTTTTCCCATGTCCTGATGTATAACACTTTGAGTGACAAAGTTTCATATGCTCAGATATCTGAAAATATCAGGAAGTAAACCAACTTCATATATTCCATTTATATGCATTCTGTGAAGTGCTGGAGAGGTATAGTTATCAGTGGAAAACTACTATATCATATTTGTATAACTGCCTAGAAGCTGTAAGTTACACTGAGGATGCTTGTCTCCATGGTATAATATCATTGCCAGGAGATATAGAAATCAAATAGCTATAAATCAATTCACATTAAAAAAAAAAGTTTGAGCAAATAATGTCCAGGCATCAAACAATAGATTGAAGGAAACTGATAATTTAAACATACAAGGAGAGAGGTTATTAATAGGAAATAACTTGTGTAATACGTAGTATATACCATACGGTGTTGAGTTTACCTAATTTAATCCTTAAAATATATCCCCCTTTATATTCTTAATTTAGTCTTAAATATTTGTAGATAGATGTTATGTCCATTTCATAAATGAGGAAACTGAAACCTATTTATTGAGATAGAATAATTTTCTCTGGCTACTCTGCATCTAGACGGGAATTCAGGCAGTCTGGCTTTAAAATCCCCACTCTCACACTGTGGCATAGTGATTAACTTACAGCTAAACTAGAAGTTATCTAGATGTAGTTACCAATATAGGGTTTAAAAATTAATTTTTAAGGATGATTATTTGGGGATAGAGTTGATAGAGTATGGCTTTTTCTGTAAATAAGTCTCTAAAGAAATTTTCCACAAAATATAATTTTGAAGTTTTTTTTAATGCACAAAAAAGAACATCCCAGAAACAGAACATGTGTTGACTTAATGATGAAGCACTATATAAAGGAGACCCCTCCCCACTTAGTAAATAGGAATATAGTGTAAATAGACATGAAAGGAGGTGAACTTTAGGATTAAATGCAAACCCTAAAGGTGTATACAGCATTCATATATGGCTTATTATCTCATAGCAATAATATTTTCCTACTGTTGTATATGGCATTTATTGGGAAGATGCTTTTGACTCAAAAGTGAAACAAAAATGCTGAAGAGGTAGTTTTGCCAATGCAAGGTGAGAACAAGGCTTTACCTTGCCATAGTTGTTTCCTCAAAATTCGGCCACCGTGTCTTTTTCTCATTTTCTTCTGGAACAGCCAGGCAGATAATGAAAGCTTTAGCAGAAGCCAATTCACAAACCCTCTAAGAACTGATTTCAAGTGGGCAATGAAATGTTTTTGAAACAACTGCTCTAAAAGTCCTATGGGAAGTCTCCATAGCGCTCCTCTGTTTTGGATGAAATAGATTCTGGCTCAATGGAGACTTACTAGATCTGGCTGGCAGTTGTAGCAGTTCATCCTGTTTTCTCCTCAGATCCCAAGCTTGGGCTCATGGTTATTTCTAGGATGGTAAATTTCTATAGGGACCCAAGAATATTGGAAGTTCCTCTGTTGCGACAAGTCAGGGACTGCTTTACATTATGCATAATATGTATATACCTACATATATGTACTGCCTGGAAAGGTTTGAAAAATGCTAGCTGGTCTGTGAAACTGCAATGATGGGTTACAAGTGACATATGTACAAGTGACATATATCAGAAAGCCATCACATCTTCTAATCAAAGGGAGTTTTGGTTTCTGTCAGGTGAGGCTTGATCTGTGAGGAGACATGGAGTGGTAAAGGTCTGTCAATACTCAAAATCTTTGACACTGGTCATCTTCTGACTATGTACAAACTAGCTTATCCTATCCTTACAATGAGCAATAAGCCCACCAAGAAAAGTTTCAAGGGGCAACAAAACATTTGTCAATTCGCAAAAACTAAAAAAGTCATTTACCAGACAATGGTTAGGAACATCTAGAAACAAAGTGACATAATATTAATCAAGTATGACTTGTTACACAGAAGAAAGCATAAATATACAGTAAATAAGAGGTTTATATGTAGTCCCAGCGGAATATGTACATATTAGAGCCGCTGTGAAACTGAGCAGGAATATCCTGTAGTGTGTCCCCAGCTAAAAGCAGTTTCATCCCAAAGCAGTTTCAACTCAACGGTTTGAAAGTCACAGATGCTGACAACAAGGTGGGGTGACACTAAGCAGATAGCCACATACATTTAAACTTGAAAATGCAGAATGTGAGAAACAAAGGTCACGAGTAAAATGGCACTTGGCCTGCTGAGCATCTTTCACATAAATATGCACAAGTCCCTCCTCCATCGGGGGTCTGAGGCCTCGCCCCTCTTCTGCGGTGCCAGGGAAGGTTTTCTCAGCACACGCCAAGCCTGGTCCCAGGCTGCACACTTACTCCTGCTTCGGGATTCAGGTCACAAGTTCCTGCCTTCAGAGTCTCCAGACGCAAATCAAAACATAAATAACAGAGCCCACCCTCGCGGGGCTCCTCCTTACACAACGTTACTGGGAACAGACGCTGGTCTGAGCAGCCTAAGCGCCGCACGCCAGTGTCCATGAGGGCAGAGTAGCTTTGTGCACTTTTGCGGAAACAAAACCCCCCAAAATCCACCCTCTGTGTCTTTCGTTTTACTGGTTAGCTCTGTCTGTAGCTAGGAAGACACTGTGTTGCTCCTGGGCTCTTTCTATCAGCTTCCTCTTCTTCTTGTTCTTCTTCTCCTTGGCCTTCGCTGTTCTCTTCCCTGCAAAGGGGAAGGAGAAAGAAAGGTAAGTCAGGAAAGGGTCTTGCTCTGGGAAAGAAAACACAAAACATTAAGAGCTTTATACAAAGCCCATCTGGAAAACATCACCTATGGGAAAATCAGCCTCAAAGAGAAAATTGTTCACATTAATTTTGACAGAATAATAATAATTTACTAAATTGGATATGCTGTCTAAAGCAGAGACGGATCTTCCTGTTACAAGGAGCTGGCATATTTAAAAACCTCCCAGCGGCCTGATCAGTCTTGCAAATATCATCCTGCCACAAAAATTCCATTTATCCCCTCCTACTTTTAACAATGCTACCCTTTACTAGACAGCTTTACATCCTCTCCTACTCCACATGTCAGTGGGTTGAAAGAAAATAAGCGTCTATCTACAGTAAATATACCAGAAATTTCCAACTCCCCTCTCTCTCCCATGGGAGAAAAATGCTTTGCTTTTAACATTACCCCTTCCATGAGCTCAGAAGGCTAATATACAAAATGATTATGTGGAATAAGTCTTTATTTTCTATAAAAATTCATGAGGATATCATCCATTATACAGCTTATGGCTTCTTAAACAATCTCCTGGAAAAGTTGTACTTATTAATTGAGAGCAAGAAAAAAGGCTTGTTTCTGAAGAACTAGTGGTATGTGTCTCACCACCACAAAATCACACCATGTTATCCTATTTCTCCTCTTTGCCTTAGCCACTAGGAAGCCCAAACAACAAGCTGAAATATTTGAGGTTTTCCTCCATCATGTTTTGAATGTAATTTCCCTTTGCTTCTGCTCTATTTTACTTCTTGCATCTTGTGGTTGTGGTTTATAGTTTTTACAGTCAATATTTCTTGCAAGTATGTATACATATGATTGTGAGAAAAAAAGGAGCAGAGGCCTTTACTTGAGGTCCATTGCCACTTGGGGATTCTGAACCCCTAGGAATTGTGAGATTTTTAAGCACAGAAAGAGCTTTAAAGTTCACCTACATTTTACAGAAGGTAAGTCATCCCTATATACCTTCCGTACAAGAAGGGTTTTCCTCAACAGATGAGAAAGAATCCTACTGTCAGGTATCCTTCCTCTCTTATCTGCTCTATTTCAAGTTTATTATGTAGTTCTGCAAAACTTTAAGTGTTCTCTTCCTGTAGGTGTAGCAATTAGACACTGCAGTCGTCAAACATCCAGTTATAATCCATGTTTTCCACCCTCCCCACACCTAAGAAACTCAGTATTCCAGGCTCTTTCCTTACAGAGACAGAGCTACCCAGCTTTTTAATCCAGACATTGGAGATGGTGACTGAGGCAAGACGTGACAAAGAAACAGACCAGCAGTTAGGGAGACAGAAAAAGGCACATGAAGCCAACATGAGACCAGATTAAGAGAGACCATGGTATTTCTACAGAAGGGAGGTGTTTCTCATGTCTGTTGTTTCTGATCAGAAAGGTCTGTTTTGTGTGAGGCTGGGAAATAGTCTGGGTGTGGTTGGCACATAATCAATATTCAATATGTGTTTGCTGAGTAAAACTATCACCAGAATAACTTATTTTTAATAGGACAATATGGATAGTCAGTAAAATAATCAGAATGTGATCATGCTCTTATATTCAATTATGAAGGTCCTTGAAGTTAACTTCTGGTTTTCATTAAATTCTGGCATTAATGTTACAATGGCACTTTGCCATCTTTAAATGTAGTTAATCCTACCCAATGAAACCTTAGTCCAAGCCATCATTAATCAAAGAAGCTGTAAAGTTACAACTATTTAGTAACATTATATCTAATAATGAGACACACCTAATGAGGGCAAAGAGATGAAATACCTAAAGCTTCTTTTTCAATATGCTGTTTTAATTAAAGTTTTATAAACAATGAAAAAATCCTTAGTTATCACTTCTGACTATGGTTATTAATTGTAAAATTTAAATTGCATAAACCAAATTAATTTAAAGCCTGCAGTTTCTTTTAAAAGAAATTGAAATAACTTGAGTGGAAAATTAATACTAACATTACTAGATTTTAAAATGTGTTCTTTTGAGAAAAGTATACTGCATACATATTAAAGACAAATTTAACATTCACCATTTCAATTCTTCAAATAACTCATGTGGTTGAAAGTTAAATGTACATTACTTTTGTTAACAGCAAATCTATGCTGACTGGAAGCTCATTTTAAGAGAGGGTCAATTTCATGTCATTGACTTACTCTAATGTAATTGCTAATATTTCTTCAGATTTTCTGACTAATATTGTGTAACAATGGAAGTTATTACTCATTATTTGCATAAAACAGTACATAGCATGGCCCAAAATATAGCAGCCCTTCTGAAAACGTATTTATATAAAATAATTTTTCAAAGTACAATTATTCTATGGCAATAAGTTACATGGTACTAATTTCAACCAGAACTGTTTGGGGTAACCTAATTACAACCCTAAAATTTTTCCTCAGAAGTCTTTTTTGAATGACATCTCTGTGCTCTGGGTTCATTGCTTGGTTTTGTTTTTGGTCAGCCCCATTTCTCATGTAGGATATACTGCAAATACCCAAGAATTAAGATGGTTAGCCAAGATTTGACCACGGACTGGCCAGAATTAACTGAAAATATTTTGTGGTCCTTACTAGGTTGTTTTGACTTTAAGCCCAACAAAAAAAGTAATAAAGGAATATTAAAACATAATTTATACCTAACCGAAGGTATAAAAGACTTGCACATATTTTTTCTGAACTTATAGTAAGATTTTCTACATGTACATATATACATACATGTGTGTATATCCCTGCTCTTAACTTATTTAATATCTAGATATTTTGAACATACAAGATTGCCATTTTGTTTCCACTTCACATCTATAGAGATGACATTCCACTCAAGAATAATCGTAGACATTGATTGTTTCACATTCTTGAGACTGGGTTCATGCTGTACAAGAAGCTTTTACCCCAAGATCCCAGTCACCCAAAGAACAATTTGAATCATGGGTTTAACTTTTTCTTTTCAGTTTATGAGAAAAGATTGAAAAATATACTGCCCAATATCAGCAGAAAAGATTGGCGTTTGAGAAGTACTTCCAGGTATGCTCACCTCTATTGACAAACCCTGCCTGTCTTTATTCTGAGTGACTGTGACAAATTACTACTTAGTGACACTACTTCTTGTCCTTCAGTTTTAGCTGCTTTACACTACTAGTTACACTACTTGGATCAGGCAGTCTTATCTACAGGGCAGATCTTCTTAGTGCAGTTACATGGAGGCAAGACAATGACTAGCACAGTTACTGCTGTTTTCAAGGAAAGCAATGTGGTTTACTGCAAAAAAGGCCTCCTCAGAGAGGGAGGAAATTTGGAAGGCTAACCACAGTCTGGGAACTGAGATGGCTGGTAGGGCATTTTACTTGTGGCTCTCAGTTTCTGCATTTTAGAATGAAGATGCCACAGTCATCTTTCACTAGGAAGAGACACCATGTGAAAAAGTTAGGTTCCTAGAATGAAAAGGGAATACGTATAAACTATCACGAGCAAGACAAGACTATATCACAATGAACAAACTCCCTAAATAGGCATTTTAGTACATCTATCTGGTATTTTAGAGGTAACACCTTTTCCTCTTCAAACATATCACAATGAACAAGGTAAAAAGACACTCTGAAAACTACAATCTAAGCAATATTACACAGATTTGCATGCCTTTGGAAAAGGTCCAACAGGATAACCTATCAACTCTTCTACCGAGAAAGCTGAACCATTCCCTTTGGAAATAGCCCTAACATCCAGCTGTAGATTCCTGCTATTACAGTCAAAAATAGAACCAAGATCTTACACTGATTCCACTGCTGGTCAGACATGAGCTTTCACTCTTTCATAAGCTCCCAAATTTAGGGAAGGTCTTCAAATGGCTTTGTTCTGACCAGGTGTAGGTAAGAGTCTGATTAAGTGTTTTGAGAAAGACTTTCTAATGATAAATAAAATAAAAAAAAATTAGTAACTGACTACAAGATATACACAAACACAGAAATTGAGAAAAGCCACACTTATGACAAATGTGATTAACTGTAATTACCATTGTTATAGACGCCTAAAAAACCAGGATGGATTTTTAACTAAGTTTGTAATGCTCTAACTTGAAGTCTAGGCTTCCCTGTACTTATGAAATTTGCCATGGACTTGAGGATCACCCAAAGAGATTCAGTCATTCTTCAAAGCAGCTAAAACTGAGAGAAGAAGTATGTGTAACCACCAACCTAGTAAATTTTGTCATACTTCAGAAGACGTGCTGGAGGCAGAACATAAAAGGTTGCTTCCACAGAGAAAGTCACAAAGACTGAGTTGTGTAGACAATGAATAGCAATTGGGCTGTTTTTGTTTTTGGTTTTTCCCCCCTCATATGGGCAACTTGAGTTTGCCCAAGAATGAGTAGCAACAGAGATTTATTTATTCAGGAGTGATTGATGATTTGGAAAAATGCCAGCTGGTTCCTAAAATGTTTTAAAAGCTCATGTGAAAATAGACAAAAGAACTAAATACAATTCATAGAGGAAATACAAATAGCTAATAAATATATTTAAACAATTCAATTTCACAATTTAATCCATTAAGTAAAATGAGTTGCCACTGAAGAGTCTTAAAAATGAAACTACCTAAAGTATTAAAAAATATAACTTGACTCAGATCTAGCAGTTAATCCTAGGAAAATAATCCAAACTTGGAAGAGATTTATGAATAGACATGTTAACTATAATTCTGGGGAAAAAATGTAAATTACCTAAATATCACACCACAATTTTTAAAGACCAGATTTTATGATTACTGAAACAATAACGTGTTTTCAACTATGAATTGAAGTATTTTGTATTTTAAGGCCTTGGCAATTCAAGTTTTCCCAAGAGTACTACTTTTGCTTGTTTCTAAAGCTTATATTCATTTATGATAACAAAGTTTGTACAAAAGCATTTCTGCTGTGGTGGTAAGCAGATTCTTTAGTGGTCAATCACTGCTGAATTGAAGATATAAAAGCTTGAGAACTGACAGAAACATTTCAGACATTAGGAATTGATATTGGTTCATGAAATTATCTAGAAAGGAATCCATAGGTATGTATAAGCATGCTAGGCTTAACCACAATATATTCCATATAATCTGAGACAAACATTGTCTCCCTATCCATAATAGTTCAGAGGAGCAGATGTTCATGGTATTTACATCAGTTATAAATTAGATGAGAGCATGAGCTACAATGAATAAAGCAATGAACTTATTTTAGCTCTTTATTTTAATATAAACTCCCTAAATAGGCATTTTAGTACATCTATCTGGTATTTTAGAGGTAACGCCTTTTCCTCTTCAAACATTTCAGAGGTAGCTGACTTTTGAAAGGGCTCACAAATTTATCAATGGTCATTTGATAATTGTGATCAAATTTCCTTGCTACTTGCAAAAACATGGATGGAACTAGAAGGAATTATTTTAAGTGAAACAAGTCAAATAAGACAAATACAGGATAATTTCATCTGTAAAAATATACAGGAAAACAAAAGAGGAGCCAAGCCAGGCCAAATCTTAAAATCTGACTGCAGAATTGACACTACCAGAGGGTGAATAGACTATGGTGGAGAAGGTGTCTTGGGGATGAGTGAAGTAACACTTCTCAAGAAGCATAAGCCTGTACCTCTGAATCATATGTGGTGTTATATACCAACATTAAAATTTTAAAAATTAAAATTAAAAACAGTATCAACATAAATTCTAGCGAACCAAGCCAATAGATTTTAGCGTTAAAACAAGCCAACTACTAAGGGCACTGTACTGTGCATCTTGACTTTCAAATCATAAGCTGAAGAACTTCCAATCAGTCTCTTAGCCATTTCACCTTTATAAAAAATAATTTGTGGTTTAGAAGCATCTACATATAGTTTAAATCTAACTTAAGATGCAGTTGTTCTTACAAGGCTATTGTGGAGAATGAAAACCATCCAAAATCAAAATGAATTAACAAAATGCAATTCTCAAAATATACAAACAAAATCATTCAGAAAACTTAACTATGGATATTATGCTAATTTGTAACAATGAGTGCACCAGACCAATTCTGAGGTTGTATTACTGTTCTAGCTGTAAAAGCTTGCTATATTATTATTATCAAAGGAATAGCATGATATGACTTCCCTTGTCTTTGAGAACTCAGCTCTTCTGATAGAAGACATTTTATTAGGTGTGAAGTCTGTTACCTATTGGAAGGCCATTTGATTTGAAAATATTTCATGTAGCAAAATGATAAACATGAAGAAAAGCTAATATTTTATGAAACTTTATGAATTATGTCACCATAAGGGTTCCTGCACATATTTCAAAAGTTCCTCTTTCATAACTGAAGAAAATCATTGCTTTTCAGGGGTGTAACAGGACTTCTAAAGGGACAGGAAGCTCCTACCAGCTCATTTGAAACTGTAAGGACCACAAAAAAAAAATAATTTGGGTGTTTGGTTTTATTTCATATGATGTTGGTCACTTCAGTTTATTTGTTTAGCTGAGCTCTTAGATAACTCAAACCAAAACCAAAACCAAACCAAAACAACTTTAGGTTCATTGTAAAGGCCAGTGTTTCAGGGTAGTGGAGACTTAAATAATACTCCTCGTGGATGTCTTTGTGTGAAGAAAATACATAACTCTACCACAAGGGGGCAATAATTCACTTTTACCGTAAGATTGGTTTAAAAGGGGGGGGGTGGACTTTTGGGCTCTAACTTCTTAAATATTTTAACCCCAATTTGAAGACTTTTTTTCTCTCCTTCTAGACAAAGCTAACGTCTGTAATGGACTAAAGAGTACGTAGCAAGACCCACATGCAGCACAAGGAGAAATAATTGCACTGCTGTTAAGATGTTTGAGAGTAAAGGGGGCTAATGAGAAAAGATAAATATGCTATTCAAACAGTGATTTGGAGGGGGAAAAAAAATCCCACATCCATGTTGCCATTTTCTTGTGAGGAAGTTAACGAACTACCTTCAAAGAACAAGTCCTTCCCTTGGATCTCTTTTTATGAGTTGTAAAACTAAAAGTGACATTCACTATCTTCTGAGTGCAGGCAGACTTTATATCAAGAATAAAAGCTGTTTGTGAGGTGGTTATTCTCTTAACTTTTAGCAATATGCAATCTATAAGCTTTCGAAGGTAAATGAGGTGGTAGAAATTCTGATTGTGTACTATGTGCTGTGATTTATACATTCTCATTTACATGCATATTGTGAAAAAAATCTCATTTAATTGGATACTGCAAAAACTGTTCTGCCAGAATATTGTACAGTTACCCACCCTAAATTTACTCAACATAAACAAAATTTGCAGGAAACTCAGGCTCAAAACTGATCTTCAAAACTGAGTTAGAAAAAAAACTTCAGATTTTGCTGAGAAAATGATAAAACTGTTTTCATTTGATTAGGAACAGTGGGATAGCTAGCAAAGGATTTCAAGTTCCCTTTAGCTGACTTATTACTACAATAGAAGGCACCTTTTAAGATAATTCTATTAGAATAAGAGGATTTAATACCTTTTTCTTGGTCCCTAATCAATAACCATTAACTAAAGGGGAGAAAGTCCATGAAATGATATTTAGAACAATCATTTGGCAAACATTTATTTAATTTGGATTCAACACAATTTCTATGGAATTGGAAGACACACATAAGTGAGAAAGACATTAGGAATTGTTTCTAGATGGAAGCTATGTTACAATATTTCTTCTCAATCCAAGCCTACAGCTCACCTTAGAGGAAGGCCTTCCACAAAGATACTCAACACAGGGTAGTATAAGAAAGCGCAGGTTCCATGCAGCATCAAAACTACATTCCTTCCCGAATGTGTTCCTGAAGCTCTATGGACCCCCTCACTAAAAAATTTACCACCTCAGTTTTTATTTTATGTTTGGTTGTTTAGCATGTCATGAACAATTGCCAACAGCTACAATTTAATACCAATGTGGCCATGCAGTCCAGCCTAGATAGAATGTTTCCAAAAATGAAGTCACAGATATTCACTCAAACTTCTCTCAATCAACTAAGGAAGCAAGAACAACATGCAGACTAGATCTAAACACTGAATGTGATCAGGAACCAAAGTTACATGGTCTTTGTCATTCATCCTAATAAGCTCTGCTCTTCCTGGCTGCCTCTGTCACCTCTTCCCTCCGGTTCAGCTTACACATGGTCCCCGAAGGGATCCTGGGCCTGAGTAAACCCTGGGACCTTTCAACTCCCCTCCCTCATACCAGAGCTTCAGTTTCTTTTGCCTTCATTGCATATTCCCATGAGGGAAATTCAACATGCCTTGCTCTACAAGCTAAACCAGAGTCCTGGATGCCTGGGCATCCCAAGACTGGGTCTCACCCAGGTCTAGCCTGAAGGGGGTCACATGACACTAGATTGGGCAGACATCTAGAATACATACAGAGATCATGAGCTCATGATCATCGTTCTTGGAAGCTAGAGATCTTGGACCAGTTACTTTTTCTAAAGCTTCTTTTCAAAGCTGATATCAATGGTGCCCACCTCAACATGGTGGGGACAAGGGGCAGGGGGGGAGGTATAGAAAATGTGTGCCAAGTTTCAGATACAATACCCAGCACAGAAATGCTAAAGAAGTTACAGCACCATATGAGGGGCCTCACATGTATTATTTCTAACTTTTACAACAACCCGCAAGGTAAGCATTATTTCCTTTTTGCCGATGAGGAAATAGGTTTAGAGAAGTTAAGTAAATAGCTCAAAATCACATAGCTCGGCGGTGATTCAAACCAACATCTGGAAGATTCTAAAACCTGTATTCTTTCCACTCTACTCATTGGATCCCTTGTGCCCAGCAAAATGTCTTTGATCTCATAATCATTTCAGTGGCTGCTGAATAAACAATAAGTACTAGGCTGAAGAAAGGCACCTGGTCCCCCACAATATCAGGGTTCCCTTGGGCCATATTAGTTCCCCCATGGACCTGGACTACAACCTCTATTGTTCACATTTATTATTCCCTGGGGTTAAGGTACTCAAAGTCTCGGTTTCCAGGGGTCACACAACACATTTACCATTTTCAACTCAGTATCAACAGTGCACCCTGTGGCAAAACACAAGGGAAGAAAACACAGGATGTCTCTTTCCATCTGGGAATTAAAAGGCCAGGCTTGTGATTCAAAAAGCCAGTAGATATACCATATAGAGTAGAATCACCCAGGGAGCATTTTAAAAAAAGAAAAAAGAAAAAGTTCTCTAATCATACCTTGATTCTTGAATGAAATCCTCAGAGGGGGATATCCAGAATTGTTTTTAAGATCCAAAGGTAGTTCAGTGCAAAGCTAAGAGTACATGCAAGTCTGTAGCCAAGATCTCAGCTAAAAGACTGAGCAAGAGAAAGGACTTTGGATCAGGGTGAAGAAGGAAATGCTAGAAAGCTTCAAAAGAAATGGCAACCTCCCTCCCAAATGAGCTGAGAAATAGTTTCCAAATTGTGAAATGAAGCAAGTCTCTTTTGGCCTGCTTCTGTTTGTGGTAATACCCCAAGAAGCAGCAGCGAAGACCTAGCTGCACCCATGTGCACACCTAAGAGGATCCCTTATCTTCACGCTAAACCCAAGGAGTGGCAAATCATTCATTTCTCTACAAGCTTGCTTTCTCTTCAGCGTATCTCGATTCTTTCAATTAAATTCTGTTTTGAAAGACAGTCTCCTAGGTTTGCAGAAATTCTAAAGATATGGATAAAATAAAGGAAAAAATGTAGATAAAACATTTAGGCTATTATCAGATTTGGGGCTTCCTGACTAGGACATAGAGCTGACACTTCAACAGTCAGGCAGGAAAAGTACCCCTCAGCACAGGTGACAAATACCAGATGTATTAAATAAAATGTGGCTAGCTGTATTACAGAAAGAAGAGACTACGTAGTGTAAGCCTTTTGTGTGTGTGCTTTCAGGAAAGTGCTATCTACATGTTTAATTATTAAATCATCGTCATCATCACCCTCCTGTTGTAGGCTTCAGTTTATGCTAGCCATCAAGTGTTACACATAGGTTAACTAATTTCATCCTGAAAACATTCTCTATGAAATAGGTACTTTCTTTTTACTTTTCAGAAGAGGAAACTAAGAATGAGGGAAATTTGTAACTTACTATGACACAACCAGTAAGTGGTAAAGTTTGGGTTTGAACTCAAGCAGTCTGGTTCCAAAGCTTACCCTCTCATCCATTATGCTATACTTTCTCTCATCACCTTATAGTATAACAAATGATCTCCTTAGGGAGGAGAGAGTTCAGTGAGAGTTAGTCTTCCCTTCAATCATAGACTCTCACAAACCCGTGAACTCATGTTCCAGCTAATGGCTGCATATTTAAAATCATAAACTGGAAGTTGGTTTGATGCAAGACCAGGATGATCAAAGGTATTTTTCTTTGTTATTCTTGCAGGACAAGGAAGGTAAACAAATAGTTGCCAAAGTAAATAGTCTCTAACTACAAATAAAGACCAGACAAGTGTGTTAGTCACCGCAGACTTTTTGTCCACGACCCAAGTAATAGGAATGGAATTCAAATAAGAGAAATATTTGACAAGGGACTCTAAAGAACATAGTAAACACACCTCGTGGTTACTAGAGGCATCAGATTTCTAAGGTTTTGAAAAGTCCTCACCCTTTTTAGGTGATCTGGAATTCTAATATGAAAAGAGTAGAATGTGGCTAATTACTTTTTAAAAACATCTCAATATTTAATAAAATGGGTTTATTTCCCCTTGCCTAAAAATATTTCATTCTCCATAAAGTGCATGCTGTTAATCATATAATGAAACTGAAAGCAAAGGAAGTTTCTACCCATGTGCACACACACGTATACACAAAGATTATCTGTAATGCGTTCCCCCACACATTGCTTATTGTCCTGGTTAAGTCATCATGTCCTTATCATTTGTTTTTAGCTTAAGTTTTAAAGGAAACCATGACAAACCAAAAACTTACAAATAGTTATGGAAACAACCCGAAGCACCCAAAGATGATGAGTAGATTAAGAAGATACAGTTGTATATACACAATGGAATACCACTCAGCAATAAAGATAAACTTTTGCCATTTGCAACAACATGGAGGGACCTGCAGGCGATCATGGCTAGGCAAAATGAGCCAGAAGGAGAGAGACAAATACCACATGGTTTCATTTATATGTGAACTGCCACAGCATCAAGATGCCAGTAGCATCTTCAATGACAGAAGTGATTTCCTGGGACTATTTTCATAACAAACTTTGCAGTTTCATTCTGGGTCTACCATACTATGAAGAAAAAGCAAGCTAACCCTGTGGAAACACTATGCAGATAGAAGCTATCCAGCTAACATCAGCTGTTAGAGTCCGTCAGCCCCCGAGCCAAACATGGGTGTAAGGAGCTGTCACATAGATCCATCTTCAGCAGTCAACAGACAGAACAGAATGAGTGCCCCCAACAGGGAGCCTCCCAGATGCAATTTGTCATTTTTCTCAAATACAGGTAGAATTATACAAAGTTCTTGATTTTAAGCTACTAAGTTTTAGAATGTTATGTCGCAATAGATAACCAGAATATGCACAACTCTAATTGAGCAATTACGGAGGTAAAAGTGAAATGCAGTACATATCCTCTTGCTTGTACTTACACTCTATTTAAATGTTTTTGCTAGCAAGGGCATGTAAACAGATTATGATTCATAAATTTCGAGAAAAAATGTTTGCAAATTATAATAGCAACTATTGTAATAGTAACAATTCAGGTAGATATCTTCACTGGATTATAGGATTATAAAGATCATGCTCAGCGAAATAAGCCAGAAAGAAAAAGAAAAATACCGGATGGTCTCACTCATAGCAGGAATCTAGAAAACTTAAATAAGGGACTAGGAAAATGAAAAACTATAAGAAAGTGAAAATCAAAATCAACAAAAAACTATGAACCAGAGACACTCTGTGGGGGGTAGAGGGCGGGAGGGGAGGGATTGGGGTCAAAATAAGGGGGTTGCAATTGTATGGGGATTATAAAAATAAAATTTATTATAAAAAATTAAAAAAAAATAGTTACATTCTTTATCTTTCAAGTTTAGTTAATATCCCACTACTTTTTGACACAAAAAGTTAGAAGTCTGAGAATGGCTTGATTTTGCATTTTCCTATGGATGCTTGTAGAATTTTCTCTTTA